TGTGTTCTTATAGCTTAGGTAAGACTGATAGCTGTGTTCTTATAGCTTAGGTAAGACTGATAGCTGTGTTCACATAGCTTAGTTTAGTGTGTTAGCTGTGTTTTCATAGCGACAGATCGGTGGCACACATTTTGACCTGTTTGAGCCCATGACCCGGTAAAAGCCTCACCTGTAGTTAGCAGCAGCAGCGTACGTGTGATTATATATGAAATAATGAATAGAATATAATATAATTTTATCAATATTTTATTATGTATATTTTATGTATAATTATTATAGAACATTTATAATACCGTAGATTTTTACTAAATTATCGGGGTCTTTCAGAACTCATTTAATACATAGATATATACTGTATATCTGTATATGTGCATATTATTTCTCAATGTATATTATTTATACTGAAGGTGAGTTTCCATATTTAATTCCCAGGTAAAGCAGTGTGTGTGTGTGTGTGTGTGTGTGTGTGTGTGTGTGTGTGTGTGTGTGTGTGTGTGTGTGTGTGTGTGCGCGTGTGTGCGTATAAGTAATGAGCTCTTCTGCCCTCATTCATGACTGTCCATTAACGATATTGACTCCATCACTCCCAGTACCTCCTCCCACCCCCAGCAACCCTCCTATCAACCCTCTCCCCCAGCAAGACCACAATTCATTCCACCCACCTAACCCTCGTACCTCTCTCCCTACTCCCACCAACCTCCCTATCAACCCCTCTCCTCCCCCAACAAGCTTCACAACCCCTTTCACTACACCTCTTCTTAACTCCCCCCAATCTCCCTCCCTCCTCAACCCCATACCATCTTAACCTCTAACATTCTTTTCATCTGTTTTCGAATCGGTGGACAAGGGGCACAATTATGATGTGGTATATCTCGACTTTAACAAAGCCTTCGACAAAGTCCCCCACGAAAGACTATTAAGAAAAGTGGCATTAAAGGAGATATTCTAAAATGGATTAGGGCGTGGTTACAGGACAGGAAACAGCGAGTGAGCATTAACGGCACTAAATCCGATTGGAGCAACGTCACTAGTGGAGTTCCGTAGGGCTCAGTACTTGGACTATTATTTTTTATTATATACATAAACGACATAGATATCGGCGTAGACAGCAACATATGTAAATTTGCTGATGACACTAAAATAGGACGTGTAATTAAATCTGACGAGGACTCCGCAAAACTACAGGAAGATCTAAACAAATTTTTCGAATGGTCTGAAAAATGGCAGATGAAATTCAACGTCGACAAATGTAAAGTATTCAGTATAGGAGATGTAAACAGGGAATCCAGATACCAGATGATTAACGATGTTATTGAGAAATCCGACCGCGAGAGAGATTTAGAAGTAATGATAAGTAGGAATCTTAAGCCAAGTAAACAATGTGTTTTTGCTCGAAACAAGGCTAATAAAGTACTTGGGTTCATACAAAGGAGTGTTAGTTGCAAGACTAGCGAGATCATCCTAAAATTATATTTTGCGCTTGTGAGACCTCACTTGGATTACGCAGTTCAGTTCTGGTCACCGTATTACAGAATGGATACAAAATCCTTGGAAAGAATTCAGAGGAGAATGACAAGACTAATCCCGGGCAGTAGGAACCTTGAGTACAGAGACAGGTTAAAGCATCTTAAATTGCACTCCCTCGAGAGAGTGAGGGGCGACCTGATAGAGGTGTATAAATGGAAGTCAGGGCTAAACAAAGGGGACATTACAAAGGTACTCAAACTATTCAACCAGGAACGAACTCGTAACAATGGTTTTAAATTAGACAAATTTAGATTTAGGCGCGAAATAGGTAAACATTGGTTTGGAAATAGAGTAGTGGACGACTGGAACAAGTTACCAAATATCATCATTAACTCGAATACGCTGGGTAGCTTCAAACATAGGTTGGATGGATATATGAGCGATAGTGGTTGGGTGTAAACGGGACTGCCCTGTATGAGCTAATAGGCCCGCTGCAGTTTCCTCCATTCTTATGTTCTTATATTCTACGACCCCCTCTCATTCCCCTCATATCCATCCTCTCTCCCTCCTATCCTCCTTCACCTCCTAACCCTCCCCCTCACCATCCCCTCCCGTCCTTCACTCTCTCTCTCTCTCTCTCTCTCTCTCTCTCACACACACACAAGACACAATTAATAGTAATATACAAGTGAGGTCTCTGACTTTATGGTCCATTAAGCTACAGAAATAAACTAATTTATCTCTCAAAAACTAGCAAGCTTTTCCTCCCGCATACATTACGCGCCAAAATTTCTCCCTCTGAAAAAAGATTTGATAACCAAAAAACACATCATTTTTTTTCTTGTTTCCTTTGAATTGATAACAGTGGGGAAACAATATTTAATTTTTGTCCGGTACGGGAGAAGTTGCCGGGAAAGAGAACAAACTGTGTCTTACGCCCGTATTATTAAACAACATCTTCCCTTGAAGAGGGTCGTCGGGTTTCAACCCGAGTTTTAAACTAAATGAGTCCTGTGGGACACCGTAGTACAGTACTTAACGGGGTGATGTGGCGGTAAAATGAACTAATTTAAATAAAATTAATTTATAATAATGGATCTAGTTAATCTTACCGCCACACCACCCCGTTAAGTACTATTTCATTAGAATAAACTTTCAGGTTTGACACGGCATAGTATGTGTTGTTGTTGTTGTTTAATTGTTTAGATACAGCAGAGTTGTGTTGAGATGGAGGTGTAGTTTGGTAGACTTTGCTGCTATTCTTAAACTGTTTGGAAGTTAGGAATGCTTAGTGTGGTTGTTACACGTCACGAGGAGGAGGATAGTGACGATAATTGAGGTGAATTGTAATAAAAATAATGAGGATTGTAATTTATATGAACAGTGAGAATAGTAATAATGATAATTGAGAGAGAAATTATTGGTAATGCGAATTAAAACCCCAATTCCCCACCTTCAACGCGCCCCTCTCCTACCCCTGCCCTCCCTACCCCTGCCTCCCCTCCTACCCCTCCTCCCCTCCTACCCCTGCCCTCCTCCTACCCCTGCCTCCTCCTACCCCCTCCCCTCCTACCCCTGCCCTCCCCTCCTACCCCTGCCCTCCCCTCCAACCCCTGCCCTCCCCTCCAACCCCTGCCCTCCCCTCCAACCCCTGCCCTCCCCTCCTACCCCTGCCCTCCCCTATCATACCCCCGTCCACCCGTACTCTCTCATGATTAACTTCAAACAAAGATGATGACCAAGATGGCGTCAAAATAGCACCGAGACTCGACCATACGGACATTCGAGAATCCAGCAGAGGAAAGTTTCTCATTGATCAGCTTTTTTTCTCTTTGCCAGAATTCACCTTTGGCGCCCCTGGGGTCCTTGTCTTATGCTAGAATAAATTTCAAAGCGAATTAAATCGCCTTTGTCTCTAGTTAACATAAATTATAATAAAAACCGTGAAAGGAAAATATCCCAAGTTATTATTGTATTCGTACATCCCCTTACGCACCCGCAAGAGCCAACTTCTGTACCGTGGCATATTTAGTGCCAAGAATTTAATGAAAGCTGTATAAACTCTAACTCTTGAAAACTGTAAGCAGCATAAAAGTCGCTCAGGGACTTCCAGCAGCGAGTCATGAAGTGCCAGCCTTGGGGCGTCGCTTCCAGTTTATATACTTTGGCGGGCTGGAGATGGCGCGCGCTCATTGGTCCCTGCCAGCCAATGAGAATGGAAGAATTCTTTTACAGTGGGGCGCTGGCACAGTGTTATTATTTTCTTCCGGGTAACGATAAGAGTCGGTGCCGGGGAGGAGAATATGAAGCCTGTGTGTGTTGAGGAGCACCTTAATGTGGGCTCGAGATACCTGCAAGCTTTAAACTTTATCTGCGTTGGCTCTCGGCTCTGGCTTTGAGCTCTAAAGTTAATGTTTACTTGTGCCTGGCTCTATCATGTTGCTCTATGTTAGATCTCGTTCGGATCACATGACGATTAACCATCCCAGCTTATTTCACCTGATGATTAGACAACCAAACGGTAACCTACCCTACCCTAACCAAAGCAAACCTACCCTACCCTAACCAAAGCAAACCTACCCTACCTTAACCAAAACAAACCTACCCTACCCTAACCAAAGCAAACTTACCTACCTAACCAAAAGCAAACTGCCCTACCTATACAACAAACCTACCCTACACCTAGCAAAAGCAAGCCTACCCTACCTAACCAAAAACAAACCCCTACCCCTACCCTAACCAAAGCAAACCTACCCTACCCTAACCAAAGCAAACCTACCCTACCCTAACCAAAGCAAACCTACCCTACCCTAACCAAAGCAAACCTACCCTACCCTAACCAAAGCAAACCTACCCTACCCTAACCAAAGCAAACTTACCCTACCCTACCCTACCCTACCCTACCCTACCCTACCCTACCCTTCCCCAGGTATAGTTAAGGTATATAATCATCAGTTGAAATAGCTGTACGGGTATACCTAATCGTCCTGTCATATTGTTTCTTTTTACCAATACAATAAGAAGACTCAGACATTTTGAGCACCAAATTGTTTTTATTCGCCAACGTGTGTTAAAATGGGTGTATTTGTGACGGAGGATTGTGAAGTTAACGATGATGGCAGTATAGGAGAGCAGCTTTTGTCCATCACGGGAGGACGCTTGTAAAAATGTCTTTGTGTCGCTTGTACAAAGGTGGGCGGGAAGAGGAGACCGCCCTTTGTGTATGGCAGGACACTGTGTTATTGTTAGTGGTGTTCTTATTCGTCTTATTATTAATATTATTTGTGTTGGTATTGTTATTATTGTGGTTATTATCGTTATTATGGTTATTATTGTGGTTATTATCGTTATTATGGTTATTATTGTGGTTATTATCGTTATTATTATTATAGTTTACACCTAAAGTGTTACTGTACTATCACTTTACAATCCATTTACCCTCAAAACTAAATATATGAAGCACTGCAGAATGTTCTGAGGTGCATATTTCCACCACAGGTTCATATATGTATTCTAATAATTATTATCCTACGACTATAGATGTCCAAATATGTCTGTTGCTGCATATATCATTCATTATTAACACGTGTTCTTTCATATCACGTGTGACTTATTCACGTGTTTTGTCACCATAGTCAGGTGTGTTATGGATGACGTGTTGTTATTATTGTATTTTCCTTAACTACGTGATCACTTGGTTCGAGCGTTTGAGTATGTTTGTCATCCTTCTCAACTGTGTGACGCTGGGCATGTACCGGCCCTGTGTCGACGAGATCTGTGACACCAACCGCTGCAAGATACTCCAGGTGGGTACTGTCCGGTCCATATTGGGTACTGGTGGGTGGGTACTGTCCGGCCCTTGCTGGGTACTGTCCGGCCCTTACATGTTAAATTAAGTATAGGGCTCGTTGTTTAATGATGTCAAGTGTGCCTTTAGTGACGTCACACCTCAAGCCCAGAGTTCAGTATTATTTCTTCAACGGAATTAATGATGAAACCTTACCGGGGAAAAACATATCTTAAGTTTATATCCAAATTATAGAAAGTACCAACAATAACAACAAAAGTATAGAATTAAAGTGATAGAGTGAAGTTTGGACATGATAGTAAAGGGTCATTTGTAATCTGAGTATGACCAAGGTTTGAGGTGATCTGGGTCAACAGAGGTTACGAGATGAGGATAATGGCCTCGTTATAGTTATCTGTGCTTGGTGAGTGGTGATGGTAGCTCGCCTTGCTGAATAGTGGTCATATATCCTTAAACAACAGTACAATAGTTAATGGTGTAACTCAGTAACAACCATAGTACTTAATGGTGTATCTTACGTTGTGACCCGCCTTAAATTAATCGATTGTTATGACTTTAATATAGAAACAAAAGCTGAAATTTTATGAGGTTTTTAGTGGAAAGTTTGTACTGTAAGTGTAGGTGGCCGACCATCTGGTGTGTGTGTGTGTGTGTGTGTGTGTGTGTGTGTGTTGTAGTGAGACTTACCACCTCTGTTCTCCCCCACCGCTACTACAGATGTTCGACGACGCCATCTTCGCCTTCTTCGCGGTGGAGATGGTGATCAAGATGGTGGCCATGGGGTGGTCGGGCAAGGGCGCTTATATGGCAGACTCCTGGAACAGACTCGACCTCTTCATCGTCGTCGCCGGGTGAGTTTTTGTCTATCTGTGTGTTTATTTTATCTCTTATTATGTATAAAGGATTCTGTCTGTCTTGCTCGTGTCGTGAAAGAACGCCGCCAGGCAGGTCAGGCGAAGAGGAACGACAGACACTACTGTTGATTGCTCTCTCTCTCTCTCTCTCTCTCTCTCTCTCTCTCTCTCTCAGGCTAAGTGATACGCCACAGATAACAGAGCCAGCGTAGGGGGTTGGGTCCCGGCCAACCAACATAATAGCCGACGTGAGTGACAGCCGTAAATATTCAAGGCTCCACCAACAACCCATGTATATGCAGATTGTCCAAATACAAAATTCTGAATATATTTCCTACAGCGCCACACAAATAAGAGTTTAATAACAGCGCGTCTAGTATTACTTGTTCGTATATTTTGTATAGGAATTTACGATATTAATATTTCCCAACTTGCTGAGTTACGTGTTGCTTAAAGAATAAAAAAGACGAGATTGAATATTTTGTTTGGTATTTCATCTTTAGTGTAGCTCTTAGTGTGTGTGTGTGTGTGTGTGTGTGTGTGTGTGTATGTGTGTGTGTGTGTGTGTGTGTGTGTGTGTGTGTGTGTGTGTGTAAAAGTATTTGTCCGAGGAAGAATCAATTTGTTTGTGGATTAGGAAAATCGTATGATGGAATAGATAGGAAAACAACGTGTGTGTGGGGAGGGGGGGAGGATAGGCAGGGAATGGTTGAATATTGGCCCTTTTGTATACGAGGAGAGAGAGAGAGAGAGAGAGAGAGAGAGAGAGAGAGAGAGAGGAATGTGCTCTGAAAGGAGGATCACGATAAAGATAATATACTGTGTGTAATGCCCATGCAGGTCTTCAGTATTGTCAAGACTGTGGGTAATAAGAGAAACGGAAGCAAGTTTAACTGAAAGCATTACAGCAGATGATGACACTATTCTTGTGGCAGTCCAGAAGGAGTAAATTAGTACTGAATGTGAACAAAAGGATAAGGACGGCGGGTCGTGTTAGGGGTGGATGTGTCATTATCAGAGCTTTATACACAGCAAATTGTACCACCGTGTGATGGTTTACCTGATGCTGCCTCTATAGTCGTGGAGTAATGTGGCGGACACTATTTTTACATCCAGGTTAGCTTTTTCATTTACATTTTATTCATACCGGTTAATTAAAAGAACATTTACACCTATTGATTTGAAAGATAGTGTCAACAAATAACTGGGCAGTGTAGAGATAAATGAGGGGGCGCGACTATAAACTGTGTACGTGAACCGCTACACGCTATTGACGCCCCGACCTGCCTGTCTGCCTGCCTGCCTGCCTGCCTGCCTGCCTACCTGCCTGCTACGTGACGTAACAACCTGCACACTGCCATGAATTCCTACCCAGATAAAACTCAGTGACTAAATGACATAGCCATTAGAGGAGGAAGGGTGGGGGGGATCTTGTGTACAATGAGAGTTGTGTGTGTGTGTGACACTGATCATCGGCTCGTCAGAGCCAAGCCCTCACTTCATGTCGCCTCAAAATGGTGAAGGCAGCAATCGTCCGGAAAAGGTCTTAACACTAAGCGTCTGGAGGATCTAGCGGTAGCATTATGCTTTCAGAGAGCAGCTCGAACGTGGACTGATAAACAACCCGACAACAAACAACCCAAATCCCAGTGCCGAATGGGATATTCTCGACTCTGTCATGACAAAAACCTGCAGAGAGAATCTCGGCCAGATCGAAAGAATACACCAGGACTGGTTTGATGAAAATGACCCGGCAATCAATGTACTCGTCGATGATAAACGTGCTGTGCTAACTGACTGGTGGAACAACCCTCAGTCTCAGACCAAAGCTGATACCTTCCGCAAGAAGAAAGCAGCGGCCCAGTGGAAACTTCGCAATTAGAGAACGGCTGGTGTAAAACTAAAGCATGTGAAACAAAAAAATTTGGCCACCCAAATTCATCACCATAGCGAGGCAATTCCACAATGGCTTGAACGGCAGTGTCCTGCACAATGGCACCCAGCCTGAGTTCTTCCCCATCCAAACGGGAGTTAAACAAGGATGTGTACTGGCACCAACTCTCTTTTCCATTTTCTTGGCTGCCTTCCTTACTCGTGCCAGCGCCAATCTCCCCGGCAGGGTGGACATCGAGTACCGGTTGAAGGGTCTTTTCAATATAAGATGACTCCAGGCACGAACAAAGGTGTCGGCAGCTTCCATTACTGAACTTCAGTATGCAGACGACCTCACCCTTGTAGCTCACACTGAATGCGACCTACAAGAGATCCTGAACACCTATGCAGATGCGTATGCACACTTCGGCTTTGAGGTGAATGTACGTAAAACTCAGGTTCCCTTTCAGCCTGCCCCTGGTTCAGCCACACCACCATCCAACCAGCTTAATGGTACTACCCTCTCTAATGTTACCCACTTTCGGTATCTCGGCTCCTACCTGTCCAACATCACAGACATCAATGAAGAGATTCAGCATCAGATCAGATGAGCATCTCAAGCCTTTGGCAGACTCCGAAGCCGTGTCTTCAGCTGTAGGGAGCTGAAATTATCTACAAAGGTGCACGTATATCGAGTAGTGGTCCTCCCCACCCTGCTATATGGCAGCGAGACATGGGTCACATACAGGAGGCACCTCAAGGCACTTGAAAACTTTCACCAACGTAGTCTACGTTCCATCCTCCGAGTTTGCTGGGAAGACTAAAAGAAATGCCAGTATTCTTACTGACACCAACTGTAGAAGCATCGAGACTACCATTATCCATGAACAACTACGTTGGACTGGCCATGTTTCCCGCATGGACGACAGTAGACTGCCAAAGCAGCTACTTAACAGTCACCTAACGAATAGTAAACGTAACGCCGGTGAGCAACTGTGTGTGTGTGTGTGTGTGTGTGTGTGTGTGTGTGTGTGTGTTACAATACTTTTCTCTTTCCACATTTCCTCACCCTAAAACCTCGCTCCTCACCCTTCCCCCCCCCCACCCATCCCTCACCCCCCCCCTCCACACCCCCATCCCTCACCCCTCCCCCCCTCCACCCCATCCCTCACCCCTTCCTCCCTCCCCACCCCATCCCTCACCCTCCCCTCCCACCCCATCCCACCCATCCCCCCCTCCACCCACCCTCACCTCCCACCCCATCCCCCCCTCCCACCCCCACCCCTTCCCCTCCCCCCCTCCCACCCCCCTCTTCCACCCCATCCCCACCCTCACACCCCATCCCTCACCCCCCTAAATTCCTCACCCTTACCTCCACCACCCCTTCACCCCTGGCTGCTCAACCTAATAAAAATTTAACCTAAACTGAGGTGGAGTGAGGTGCCACTAATAGGATGACAGGTCTTAATTAGTGCAGTCTCTCCCCGAAGCCTATTGCTACCACCATTACCAACTACCACCACTGCTACCACCATACCACCACTGCCAACACTACCACCATTGCTGCTGCCACCAACACTGCCGCCACTGCTGCCGTACCAGCACTGCTGCCACTGCTGCTGCATTGTAACCTGCTGCACCGCCGCTGCCACACTACCACCTGCCGCTTAACCATGCCATTGCCAGCACTACCACCACTGCTGCCACCATTACCAGCACTGCCACCACTGCCAGCACTACTGCCGTTACCCGCCACCACCACCTGGCTGCTGCCGCCATTGCCAGCACTTCCATTGCCAACACTGCCACTGCTGCCACCATTATAACACTGCCGTGCCAGCACTGCTGCCACCTTCTTACCAAATTGCCACCATTCAACACTTTCCTGCTGATGCCACCATTGCTCACCACCATTATGACACTACTTACTTATCGTGCCAACATTGCTGCCACTGCTGCCACCGTTGCCAACACTGCCACCATTGCACTACCACACTACCGCATCGTTGCGACCGTTACCAGCATTACCAGCACCGCTACTGCATTACCAGCACTACCACTCATGCTACCGCCGACACTACCACTGCTGCCTGCCATTGCCAGCACCCACCACTGCTACTGCCATTACCAGCACTGCCAGCACTGCCACCTGCTACCATTATGCACTGCCATAACTGCTACCATACCACATACACCACCACCCCTGCTTGTGTTGCCAGCACTGCCATAACTGCTACCGTACCAGCACTTTCTACCACTGCTGCTGTAATTGCCGATATGCTGCACCCTGCTTGTGTTGCCACCATTACCAACACTACCATTGCCAGCACAACCACCACCAGCATGTTGCCAACACTACCTCCGTTGCTACCGTTGCCAGCATTATACCACTGCTGCCACCATTACCAACACTTGCCAGCATTGTACCACCATTACCAACGCACTGTTGCCAACCAGGTTGCCACTGCTGCTACTAATTGCCAACTACCACCACTGCTGCTACCATTGCCACCACCCACCCACTACCGTTACCAGCTGCTGCTGCGTACCATTGCCAGCACTACCACTGCACTGCCAGCACTACTATTGCCTGCCACTTTATCCTACCATTACCAACCTGCTACCGTCCACACTACCACCATGCTGCCGTTGTATTTCTTACTTACTTACCAGCAACGCTCCCATCATTACCGCCTGCACTACCCACCACCCCTGCCCCATGCTTGTGTGCTGCTGCGTTACCACAATACCACCCCTGTATGTTTGTAACACTGCCGCCGCCTGCTGCCAAATTTGCCAGCACTGCTACCCAACACTTTACCACCACCCCTGTATGTTGCCAACACTACCACCACTGCTGCCGTTGCCAGCACCACCATGCTACCACCAACGCTACCACCACTGCTGCTACATTAACCTGCCACTGCTACTGCACCATTGCCAACGCTGCCACCACTGCTGCTACCCATTGCCAGCACTGCCACCACTGCTGCTACCGCCACAATTTAGTACCACCACTGCTACTGCCACTACCACTGCCACTATTACCATTGCCAATACTATTACTGCCACTATTATCAATACTACCACCATTACCAGCTACTACACTATACCATCACCATCATCATTACCACCACCACTACCACCACCACCACTACCACCCACCACCACCACCATCATTACCACCACCACTACTACCATCGACACTACCAGCACCACTACTGCCACCACCACCACCATCATTACCACCAGTTCTACTACTACTACCACCAGTGCTCCACTACACTATTGCCATTACCAATGCTACCACCGCACCTGTTACCAGTTCTGCCACCACCACCACCATCATTGCCACCAGTTCTGCTACTACTACTACTCCCACAATACCAATACTACCACCACCACCACTACCACTACTACTACTATTAACCACTACCACCACCACCACTACCACCAGCATTACCATCAACACCATTACCAATACTACCACCACCACTACTACTACCATCATTACTACTACCACCACCACTACTACCACCACCACCACCATCATTACCACCAGTTCTACTACTACTACTACCACAATTACCAGTACTACCACCACTACCACTACTATTACCATTACCAATACTACCACCACCACCACCACCACTACTACTATTACCAGTTCTACCACCACCACCATCATTTACCACCAGTTCTGCTACTACTCCACAGTGCCAATACTACCACCACCACCACTACCACTACTGCTACTGTACCAATACTACCCACCACCACCACCACTACTACTATTACCAATTCTGCACCACCCACCACCACCATCATTACCACCAGTTCTACTACTACTACTACTACTCCCTGATTACCAATGCCGCACCTACCACCACTACTACTGTGCCAATTCTACCACCACCGCCGCCATCCGTACCACCAGTTCTACTACTACCACTCCCACAATTACCAATACTACCACCACCACCACCACCACTACTACTACTATTAACAATACTACCACCACCACCACTACCACCAGCATTACCATCAACACCATTACCAATACTACCACCACCACTA